ATGATCACGATGAGCAGACGCTTCAGGACGTAGCACAGGTTTTAGGGCCCGAGTCTCACAGCCCCACACACTGATACAGTCTGTTCCTCACATCTGGATTCCACATCTGGTGACTCATGCACGGGCTGCGGTGCAGCAATCATGGGGTAATGTGTTCCGAGGACTCGCACCTCAGTGGCGATGACAGACAGCAATCCTGTGTCTGGGGCTCCACGTAGGAGGTTATTAAAACCAACCCCAACCCCAGAGGGAGAAAGCCACAGTGGCCGCCTGCCAAGAGGGTGACCAAGGCTGAGAGACAGAATTACACCATTTGCTGGAATTTTTAAAAATAATAAATCTAGCAGCAGCCATTCGTTTGCTAACTCTGTGTAGGTTTTTTTTTTCTCAGACAAACCAGAAGCAGCTCAACTGAGACGTATTTTTAGAGGTCACCCCGGGTGAGAGATTCTGAAGTCAGGGGACCCCAGTTTTAACTCTGACTCTGTCATTGACCCACAGCGTAGCTTAGGGGGGCATCAGTTTTCTCCCCATGCCACAAAAGAAAGAAAAGATCTCTAAGTTTCCTTCTGTTCCTTTCAACCTCTAATGTGAATATATGAGGGTAAAGAGTAAAGTGGTCTTTTCTCTTCAGTCTCTGTGATGGACTGAATTGTGTCCCCAAATTCCAAGTTGAAGTCCAAACCCTCAATGTGCTGGTATTTGGAGGTGGGGCCTTTGGGAGGTCATTAGGGTTAGATGAGGTTATGAGGGTGGGACCCCCATGATGGGATTAGTGCCCTTCTAAAAAGAGACTACAAGAAAGTTTATTCTGTGTGTGTGTGTGTGTGTGTGTGTGTGTGTAATGGGAGGACACAGCAGGAAGGCAGACATCTGCAAGCCCAGAGGAGGGTTCTCAGCAGAGCCTGACCATACTGGCACCTTGATCTTGGATGTCCAGCCTCCAGAACTGCAAGATAATTACTTTTCTGCTGTTTAAGTCACAAAGCATACAGTATTTTTTGATGGCTGCTTAAATATAATAACACACTGCTCTTGTCTTGCTCAGGGTTGCTTCAGTCCTTCAAAGTCAGTCTGGGAGGCAGCAAGTAGGAAAAAGCCTTTGCACACCCACCTCTGGTGGCCAGTGTAGGAGTATCCCCAGCTGAAATTCCCAGTGCTCTATGCTTGTCACTCAGATCTGCCTTAGCACCACCCACTTGCTACAAGAAGGTAGTGCCTGAGCTCTTGAGTCTGACTCCTCCTAGGTAGTCTCCACAAGGAGGGTAGGCCAGGCCTGCCAGGAGTGGGTCTCCAGGGAGCAAAGCAGGATGCTGCCTCAGCCCTCTCCTAGTGTGGGGCCGTCTAACAGTGGGAAGTATTTCAACAAGAGTACCTTCGAGTTTATGGCAATTTACAAGTTCCCCCAGCACTTCAGTGAACACCTCTTCCTGTGCCACACAGTGACCCCAAGATAGAGGCATAAATGATCATTCCCAGTTTACAGGCGAACAGTTAGATGCAGGCAAGAGACCTAAGAAATGTGGGTTTGGTCCCTGGGTCAGGAAGATCCCTGGAGGAGGGCATGGCAATCCATTGCAGTATTCTCGCTTGGAAAATCCCATGGACAGAGGAGCCTGGCGGGCTATGGTCCAGAGGGTCACAGAGTCAAACATGACTTTAGCAACTTAGCATGCATGCAGTCAGACCCAGAGAGGTCAGTTCCCTCTCAAGATTTAAACCCAGTCTTTGGGCTCTTAGTTCAGGGTTCTTTCTACTCTGCCATGCTGATTCTAGATCTGTGCACAGGTGGCCACAGGGAGAGGTCCTGACGGGGTCTCACTGCAGCGGCTGGAGCGGAGCTGCTCCCAGCAGGCCAGGAGGGCAGAAAGTTCCCCATGGAGGTGATGCTGGCCCTGGGCTGGGTTTCTGCCAGCAGAGATGGGATATGGAGATTGTCCTAAGTGGAGACAGGCTGGGCTGGAGGTTCAGGCCCTGCTCAGAGAAGAGGGGAGCTGACTCCTTTGAAGAACTGGAGGGAACAGGGAAGAAGACCTGAGTGGGGCTCAGGAGGTGGAGGAAGGTGTTCTCTGCCACCTGCCAAGTCAAGGTCCCCTGAAGGTTCTGGAACAGAAGATGGACCCTGTGCCAGGTGCCACAGGATGAAAACACAGGTGGTCTCTGCCCGTTCACTCAACATTCGTTGAACTTTATGGAGCATTTCCTGTGGGCAAGGCCTGGAACTCAGTCTCTAGTAAGACCCGGTCTCTAACCTCCAGAGACTCGCAGGCCTGTGGGCTGTATGCTCCAGGCACATCTAGACTAGAGAGTCTTTCCTGATGCTGAGATGCGCTTGCACTAGGTTTATTTCAGAAATTTCCAGGTGGTAGAGACAGGAGGAGTCCTCTCAGCTGCGGCTTGCAGAAGAGACCCCCTGATTCCCCTCCCCACCTCACACCCTCAAGGGTTGTGGAACAACCCTCTAAGGGGTGATCGCAGCTTGGGGGTCAGGGGACCGAGAGGAAGGGAGGATGGGCCTCACTCCAGAGGCCAGAGAGCCCAAGGTGCCTGCAGGGGTGTGAGAGTAACAGTGTCCATTCCTTCTAGGGCCCTGGGAAACTGCACCTGTTCTCCATGCTTCAGAGAACCTTCTGGAAAGTGAGCAGAGTATTCTTCAGGCCAACTGCTATCAAGGCGGTAAGTGGAGGCTGCCTTTAGGAAGGGCCAAGGACACCCTTATCTGCTGAGCAGGCCTGACTGAACCCCAGCAGGCTCCCCACCCACAGCCCAGCATGATTTATGAAAAAGACACAGTCATGGTGTCAGGATCTTAGTGATCTGGGACAGAGCTAGGAAGCACACATTCCCNGGTAAGTGGAGGCTGCCTTTAGGAAGGGCCAAGGACACCCTTATCTGCTGAGCAGGCCTGGCTGAACCCCAGCAGGCTCCCCACCCACAGCCCAGCATGATTTATGAAAAAGACACAGTCATGGTGTCAGGATCTTAGTGATCTGGGACAGAGCTAGGAAGCACACATTCCCAACCCCAGTTTACTATGGCCACAGTGAAAACACAGCCCATTATTACAGAACAGGGCAGCTAGACTGAATCGACCCAGGGCAGACAGAGGCTTCAAATAGGGGACAAGCTCAACAGATATGTGTCAGATGGCGGGTAAAATGCATCTCTTACAAATACCACCACTGCCTGTGTGTGCTCAGTCATGTCCAACTCTGCAACCCCATGGACTACAGCCCCCCAGGCTCCACGGTCCATGGGATTTCCCAGGCAAGAGTGTCAGAGTGGGTTACCATTTCCTTCACCAACTGAGCTATCAGGGGGCCCTGACTTCCCTGGTGGCTCAGATGGTAAAGTGTCTGCCTACAGTGCGGGAGACCCGGGTTTGATCCCTGGGTTGGGAAGATCCCCTGGAGAAGGAAATGGCAACCCACTCCAGTACTCTTGCCTGAAAATCCCATGGACGGAGGAGCCCGGTAAGCTACAGTCCATGGGGTTGTCAAGAGTCGGACACAACTGAGTGACTTCACTTTCTTTCACCATTTCCTACTCCAACCATTGCCTGAGGATAGGATACTTCTAATTCATCTGATCATCTCATGTAGACACACCATATATAATAAACAAATACATATCAAAATTCACTTCTAACAGCATTGTTGCACATTTACTCAAATGGATGATATCACTGTATCATTAGTTACAAGCCCTATAAATGAGAAAATGGACATTTGAAAGTGTCAGTGGCCATAACAGATGTGGCTGGAAGGAGGGAGCAGGACACGCGATTGTAAGGAGGAGGGGTAGCATTTGTTTGGAAGGGTCCTGAAAATTTCTTAGATGTCCTGTGATTATCTTATAGTCAGTTCTTGGTTATCACAGTAATGGGGAGGGTCAAAGAAATGCATGGATAATCTAAGATGATGAGAATTAAAATAAATCAGTTAAAAAGCAGGCTTCTGGCTTTGGCATGCAGTCAAATATACATGCAACTCGACACACCCACTCTCTTTCTGCACCCTGATGTCCAGCCCCTCCCTGTGCTGACCGTGCTGGCCAGGACAGCTGGGCAGGCAGCCACGAGCAAGCCATAAAACTCAAGACTCCATCCCAAACGGGGGAAACCTTTTCTCACAGGCAGCGGAGTTAGAGAGGCACACCCAGCCATGCAATCAGGGCACCTGCCCAAGTGAACAGGTGACATTGAAAGGTGGACACGTTAGGTTGTGACCACAGTTGTATCAGTGGTCAGGGAACCTGGCCCTATAACTGGAAAGACTAGCAGGACCCGAAAGGTACATGGCAATCCTGTTCCTCCACTTCTGACCCCTTCTCTCAAAATGACCATTTTCAAGTCTTTATCTTGGTCCACTCCGACACAGGACTGCAGGGCAGAAAACACAGCATCCTTGAGTGAAGACGAGGACATCTGGAAGCTTTTTCTTTTTAAGTAATGGAGACAGGAATTGGGATCAGCTGCCAGGAAATATGTACCCAGGAAACATCACTGCCAACCTCGCCCCTGCCATCTGCTGTCAGATTATCTGAATTGGGGGAGGGGATGGGGTTCTCAGGAGACTCCCCTTCTCGCAGAACTGACTTTGGAGTCAGAAAAATCCATAGTCTGAACCCCCGCGTAACAGTTGGTCACCTCAGGCTTTTCACTTAGTCTGCAGGTGAGAATTCCGCTGAGGCTGCCACTCAGAGAAAGCACGTGCTCGCCGCGGAGCGCAGCCGGAAGTCCGCAGACAGGAAGGCATCTACTTCACTATAACTCCTAGCGGCTCCGAAATGACCGCGGGCCAGACAGGAAGAGGCAAAAGCAGTCCGTCTTGGGACAGGGAAGCAGCAGCCACCGGGGCTGATATCGCTGGGAGGGGGGCTTCGCACACTTTCACCCACGAACCCCGGGGGCGCAGACCCACCCGTGGTCACTGTCCTCGGCGCCCCCCGCCCACGGTCGCCCGCGCCGGGTCCCCCTCGTCCAACGTCGCAACACTCACTGGCACAGGTCTTGCCGTCACTGCGGAGCACGTGTCCCTCGGGACACTCGCAGACGAAGGATCTGTCCGTGTTGACGCAGGAGTACTCGCAACCGTGGTGGCTGAGCAAGCAGTAATCCACTCCTGCAAAACCCCACAGCCAGGGAATCAGATCACGGTCCCGCGCACCTCCCTAACCCTCCTCCTCCTGCCCCGGGAAGGCGCGCGGCCCCCAGGGGACAGGCCCGCCCCGGAGCAACGAGCAGAGGGCAGGGCAGGGCCCGCCGTCCCCTCCGGCCGTCACGTTCTCCACGCCGGTGGCAAAGCTCTTCCCTGTAAAGAGCAGCAGGAAGGGCACTCACGCGAGCAGGTCTTGAGGTCGTCGTTGATGAGGAAGCCTTCCGAGCACTGGCACACGAACGAGTCCTCCGTGTTGAGACACAGCTGCTCACAGCCGTGGTCCTGCTCTGCGCAGTGGTCCACTCCTGCAGCGACCACACAGGAAAACCCCCTGAAGTAAGCCAGGAGGGCATCAGAGAACAAAACCACCTCCCCCGCAGAGCCGCTACCCGGCAGTTTCACTCCGCTGATGCCCAGGAGAGTGCCGTGGAAGGTTTCCTTCCACCCTGTGCCATTGGCCTGGCTTGTTTTATTTCCTATTTCTTTGAGGAGTAAGGTGCATATGACTCCGGCCAAGGTGGTAATGACAGTAGCCCTCTGCACCTGCGCCAGGTCTGGGCACGCATCACCTGCAATCCCCAGGGCACCGCTGAGAGAAGGTGCCCTCCCCATGGCACAGAGAGGAGAACCAGGCTCGGGAAGGTGGAGCCGCGGACCCCACCCGCTCCCTGCGGCTGACAGAGCAGTGTCTCAGGATGTGGGGGGCTCCACACCACACTATTTGGGCTCAAATCCCACCTCACCCCACCAGCTTCCCAGCTGTGAGATGCTTGCTGGGTGGTCATTTGGCCTCTCTGCCACCATCTCATGACTTGAGAAATGGGGTTGAGGCTCGCTTTTTTCCAAGAAGGTGGTGGGAGGAGTTGATTCACCTAAAGCCCTCAGAACAGTAGCTGACATACATAATCACTTCGTGAATGCCCATCATTACTAAGTATATGGCTGGGGAAGAAATAATTATATAGTTCCTTTGTATCTGAAAGAGAAAATGCGCTGTTATCCCCCATAACCGGGACATCCAGATTCTGAAAACAAACCAACGCCAAGGCCTTGCGTGTGTGGCCAGCCTTGGCACCCGAGCCCGGCCCAGCTGGCCCAGCTAGGATAACAGACACACAGCTGCGGTGAACTGGTTCCCACAGGACAGCCCTGCAGGCTGCCTCCCAGATTTCCTTGATGGAGAAAACGCACACCCGGACACTGGAGAGACACTGGAGGCCTTGTGCAGGGCCATGGGATGGGCCTCTTTGACTTCCACAGGGCCTGGGACTGTGCCTTCTGGAACATTCCACCCGTGGCTGTGCCTCCTGCAAACACTCGCAAGATCTCAAGAGCCAGAGGCTTGTGTTCACATCTCAGTTCACCAGTTACCCGTCACGTGACCCTGGGAAACATAACTTAATCCCCTTGCACTTGTTTCCCCGCCTTTACATGGGGGTAAGAATGTTGATGCTTCACTGGGATCTGGTGCAGAGAAAGTGAGTGAGTACTTGGGAAGTGATCCCGGCCATGCCTGCACAGAGCAAGCCCCTCGTAAGGGCTTCCTGTCGTGATGGTCTGTGGGCTCCCGGAGCCCCCATGGGGAATAGGATTACCAGGCTCTCTCTGGGGACTCCTAGGAAGAAATGGCTTGGTTTACACTTATACTTTCTTGAAGCTGACTAGATGGTCCTCCTTACTAGATTCCAGGAAGAAAAGACAGCCCAATCTCTCCTGCCCCAAGACGCGCAGGGAGGGAGAGGCAGGCCACGGCCCCCGGGGCTCTACGTGGGCTCGTCCAGGTCCCGCCGAGCCGGCCCTGGGATGCCTGCAGAGCTGTCAGCTGGCCGGCCCCGCGCTCCTGGAAGAGAAGGCAGACAGACTGTTCACAGGTCCACCTTCACCAGGGTGTCTCCTCGTCGAGCGGAAGGACCCTTGCACGGCCCTGGGATGCCTGCAGAGCTGTCAGCTGGCCGGCCCCGCGCTCCTGGAAGAGAAGGCAGACAGACTGTTCACAGGTCCACCTTCACCAGGGCGTCTCCTCATCGAGCGGAAGGACCCTTGCTCACCGCTGGCTTCTCACAAGGACTCAGAGACTTCCAGAGGCAAGTGCAGAGCAGTGCCAACTCTCTGGTTCAGAAATGCTTTGACTTCCAAGATTGATGCTTCGAAAGCCCGACCGAGGACTCTGTTCCCTCTGAAGACCGAAAGGGGCGCGAGGGTTCCCGACGGCTACTCTGCACCGAATACTTCATCTGTGAAACTTTCCCTCCAGGCAGGGGAAGGTCCACATACTGAACAGCTGTACTGTTCTCACTCACAATCTATCTCTGTCCCCAAGGCTGGAGCAGATGTGCAGCTCGCTGGGTGGAAAGCCACACAAAGGGCCCCTTCTGTGCCAGCCGTGTCACCGAGCCCTTCACCGGCAACCTCCGGGGTCAGGGCGTCCCCCCCCCCGCTGTGTCACGCGCCCCACCCCCGCTGGCTTGGACCAGTGGAGACTGTGCCTCGTAAAAAAGAGATGGAACCATCCAGCTGGCACAGCCTGCAAGTTTCCACGTTGACATCACTGGACCGAGTTGTGTTGCGCCTCTTACACAAGAAAATGAAGACAATGCTTCATAAAAAGTCCCATGTTTCTCAGCCCCACCCTCAGATCAGGTCTGCGGTGGCCCAAGGGCCTTCTGAGGTCTGTCTCTTTTCTGGTTCCTGTCCCAGGCTCTGTGACAACAAAGAGCTCTTATTTTTAATTGTACATTTTCCTGTGTCAAGCACTGTGCTGAGAGGCTGAAATAGTCCTCAGGATTTCCCTTAACAACTCCAGGAAGTCAACACTGTTATCATCTTCACTTTTTTAAACGGATGGGAACGTCAAAGCTTGCAGAACTTTAATACCTTACCTGGGGTCCCTTGTCTAGTATGAGGCAGAGTTTGGATGAAATCAGGCTGGTCTAACTTAATCAAGGCTCTCAAGAGCAAATAATAATATTAGCTAATATGTGTGTGTGTATTAGTTGCTCGGTCATGTCCAACTCTTTGTGACCCCATGGACTGTAGCCTGCCAGTCTCCTCTGTCCATGGAATTCTCCAGGCAAGAATACTGGAGTGGGTAGTCATTCCTTTCTCCAGGGAATCTTCCTGACCCAGGGATTGAAACCAGGTCTCCTGCATTGCAGGCATATTCTTTACCATCTGAGCCACCAGGGAAGCCTAGCTAATATTTACTGGACTTTTATTATGTGTCTAGCAGCACTTTTCTAAGTGTTTTCTATGTGCTGATTCTTTCACTCTTCACAATCCAGTCTCTGAGGGAGGCAGCATGAGTAGCCCCATTTTACAGATGATGAAACTGAGGCCAGGAAGGTTAAGGCTGCTGGACCCTCAGGCTCATAGGAAACCCAGGAGCTTCAGAAGTGACTGACTGCTAGTGAGCCCTGGGACCTGTGTGTGAACCTGGCCCTCCCATGAGCCCCCGACCCGGGTACACTCACGGCTGCAGGTCTTGCCGTTGGGGTCCAGGCTATAGCCCCGGCGGCAGCGGCAGTAGTAGCCCTCCTCCGTGTTGATGCATTCGTGCTCACAGCCTGGCTTGTTCAGCGCGCAGTAGTTGATCCCTGAAGGGAGAAAGGGCAAGCACTCCTTCAGGCTTGGGGCTTCTCCCAGGGCTGAGACTGCCCCCCCACCCCGCCCCGCCCCAGTAAACATTCAGTAAGGAAGGTGCTCCAAGGGACACAGACGGCCGCTCCTGTTCTCCACAAGCTTGTTTGGGAGAACCTGGCACCTGGCGGGTACAGCCCTCTGCGTTCTCCAGCAGAGGTCTCCTCAATAGATGGCCAAAACACTGGTGAAATGGGCTGAGCGCCACAGTTCCCAGCCCATCTCCTCCCAAGAATGATGGAAATGCTGGGAAAATTCAGTCTTTTCTTCCAGTTAACCTGATTACTAGGGCTCAAAGCATGTCACTGCTGCCGGCAGTGACATCTAACAATGACATGGGATGGTGTGAGGCATAATAAACAACAAGATACCCAGCGATTTAGGAGAGGCAGGAAAAGGCAGTTATATTAAGAAAGGTCCAAAGTCCACCGGGTTCTGGGTGAGAGTGTGACACCATCCGTAATCAAGAAACTGGAGAAGACGCATCTCTGATGCTGGCCCAGGTTGTCATAGCTCTGTCCTAGTCACCCCCATCCAAGCTGCATTTCTGCTGGCAGACATTGGCAGCATCACCACCAGCAGTCAATTAGCAGTTTCATCTTCAGGTAGAAAATGCTAAAACCACATGCTGGGTCACCCCCACTCCCACCCCCACATACAGAGAAGGTAATGGAAGAGACGAAGAACTATAAAGGGAAATAAAATGAGCTTTGCAGAGGACCTCTGTGAGACTGGTCACCACCAACCTCAGGGCTGAGCTGGAGCCATTTAGCTGCATTGTTCTTTTTCCCGGGGATGTGGCAGACACTGTTGGTTGCCTTGCCAATGAGCATTACCCTGTCTTCCTGAAACCAGAACCCTGACCCCCCAAGGCATGAGTNTGTGAGACTGGTCACCACCAACCTCAGGGCTGAGCTGGAGCCATTTAGCTGCATTGTTCTTTTTCCCGGGGATGTGGCAGACACTGTTGGTTGCCTTGCCAATGAGCATTACCCTGTCTTCCTGAAACCAGAACCCTGACCCCCCAAGGCATGAGTCATGAGTGGTGTAAGCCAGCCTGGCAAGCATCTTCTCCTTTGCCAGGAATTGGTCTAGAGGTGGGAAGATGCCTAGTTCTCACCAACGAGACAGAAGAATTTATTGGGGCCCCTAGGAAAGACATCTCTTCCTGAGAAGACAAAGATGTATGAAAAGAAATGAAATGGAACCCTTACTCAGAGGACCTCAGACCATCCCGTAAAGGGTCCATGATGTGCCCTCCCACAGGACTGGTGGACGGAACTTTCCATGCCCACGGAGAAGAAGTGGCTGCAGTCTGAGCCCATGGAGAGAACTCCCAGGCCCTGCAGGGGACTGGCCTAAGAGAAGAGCTGCCTCCACAAGCCACGGGCCCTGGGCACGCTGTCTGTACTGCATCCCTCTGCCTGAGGAGAGGCAGACTATTGTTAGCTGTGTGCAGTTTCTCAGTTCATCAACAGCCTCACCTTGTGAAACAGAAGTGAGTGTCAGAAAACAAGGAACGAGATTCAGTGAAGAAAAATAGACCTAGCAATAGAACATCGACCACAGGCAAAGAGACCAGCAGCCAAGTAAAGAGACACAGAACACAAAGGGCCCCACAGACTGGGCCACATAGTGTAGGACCTGCAGGAATCTCTCCATTACGTCATCAGAGAAAAGTACAGTTATCTTCAGTAAGTGCTGTTCTAAAAAGCTAGCCTTAAAAATAAATAAATAAATAAATAAAAAGCCAGCCTTCAGCCACTATGGAAAACAGTATGGAGGTTCCTCAAAAAAATTAAATATAGAATTACATGCGATCCAGCAACTCCCTTCTGGGTTTAAACCCAAAAGAACAGAAAGCAGGGCCTTGAACATATCTATGTTCACAGCATCTTTATTCACAATAACCCAAAGGTGGAAGCAACCCAGGTGTATACTGAATGGATCAGCAAAATGTGGCAAATACAGAATGTGGAATATTATTCAGCCTCAAAAAGGAAGGAAATTCTGACATGGAATGAGCCTTATGTTAAGTGAAAACAAGCCAGTCACAGAAGGACAAATCTTGTAAGATTCCACTTATATGAGGTAACTAGAGTAGGCAGTCATAGAGATGGAAAATAGAATGGTGGTTGCCAGGACTGGGGGAGAGAGGAATGGGGAGTTACTGTTTAATCAGTGCAGAGTTTCAGTTTGGGGAGATAAAGTTCTGGAGCTGGATGGTGAGGATGGTTTCATAACAACAAAAATGTACTTAATGCCACTGAAGTGAAGTGAAGCGAAAGTTGCTCAGTTGTGTCCGACTCTTTGCGACCCCGTGGACTATACAGTCCATGGCATTCTCCAGGTCAGAATACTGGAGTGGGTAGCTGTTCCCTTCTCCAGATAAATTCAAAAACACAAAGATTCTTGGGGCTTCCCTGGTAAATCAGTGGTAAAGAGTCCGTCCCCCTGCCAAGGCAGGGGACATGGGTTCGATTCTTGGTCCGCAAGGATCCCACGTGCCGTGGAGGAACTAAGCCCGTGGGCCACAGCTACTGAGCCTGCGCTCTAGAGCCTGGGAGCCTTAACTGCTGAGCCCACCATGAGCCACAACCACGGAAGCACGCAAGCTCTAGAGCCCATGCTCCACAACAGGAGAGGCCACCGCAACGGGAAGCTCAGGCACCACAACCAGAGAAAGGCCCCCCTCCCCCAAGCAAAAAAAGACACAGCACAGTCAAAAATTAATAAATAAATAATTTAAAAACATGACGATTCTTAGAAAGGTCAGCACTCAGCTATCTGGCAAACAGCAACTCCAAAATGCCTCTTCTCTGATGGCTCCTTGCCGCAGAGGTTGACCTGTAGAGCTCTGTCTTCTTCACGTGCTTGAATCACAGTTCTTCACATGTACGTAAGTTACTTATTCCTTCACTCAGTATTCACTGGGTACTCACTATGCACGCCTCCCCACCTCTGGTCCAGTCTGCTCATTAACTGTGATGAGCTACACGTGGGCCGGGCTCGGGTGTGGGTTTATCTGGCAAAGCCCAGAGTGTCCAGTAACCCTGCGAGATGAGACAGCTGGGCTGTCAGAAGGCCAACTAAACGGCGTGTATGAGTGCCAGCTCAAAAAGGAGCTGGAGGCCTCACTGAGAAGGTAAGACATAAAAACATGAAAGATCAGAGATAGGTCACTGCAGGCTGCCATGCCAACGGAGTGGCACAGAGAGTCAGTTATAGAAAGATGGGACAGGCTACAAAATGTTCAAGCAGAAAGTCATGTTCCTTCAGTTTGGGAAATGGAGGTTCGGAGAAGCAAAGCAGTCTGTCCAAGGTCACAGGCCAGGGTGGGTGATACTGCCAAGACTGGCCCCCCTTACTCAGTTCAACCTGTGCACCCCGTACCCTGCTGTTTAGAGTGTGATGCCTCCACTGGGGGAAGCACCAGCCTCGGTGCCAGCATGAGCAATCCTGGAGCCCCACCCGCCTCTGACTCCACCCTGGGGTCCCCGCCTAGACAGTCAGTCCTGGGCTTTATGTTCTGCATCTCTGCCTCAGTAATTTATGCTTTAAGTCGATGACAGCACTTTCCAGAAAAAGAAATTATGCCTGGATGAGGAGAAAGAACAAATCCAGGCCAAGAGTGTTTTCTTCAATAGGATTGTGCCTTGAATTCCAACCCCCACCCCCAACCCAGTTTAATTGGATGATATCAAATTCCTTTGAAAGATAGATTTATTAGATTTGCAAACAGCCCACAGCCATCAACCGCCCATTAAACGTAAATGGCTGTACTCTGAGCTCGAGATCTTTAACACTCTGAAGATCTTCAGGCTGCTAACAACCAAGCCCAGATTTTAAACCCCATTTCTCTGCTTCCTGATCCCACAGAATGCTCCAGAGAGGCACTGAGCGCTCGCTCTCCGTTAGCAGCTGTCTGCCATAATCGTCAGGGTGCACACATCAGGGCAGGGGTGGCTCTCAGAGGGATCTCGGCAGCGGAGGGCTGTGCAGCAAAGACAATGGAAAAAGTAACGATGAGGCAGGATGTTGGGAGAAGGGCTGATGAGGACATTGGGTTTTAAGAAACAAGTTCCATTTTTCTTGGATGAAAAACTAGGGCACCTGGCTGAAGAGGAAATGGAGCTATCCCTGAATATATATGCATGAGTGTTAAGGACTCTGGGCTGGAGGCAGGCCTGTCTCCAGGCTAATTTGTGGTGGTCACACTGTTTCCAAATGGTCACTTCCTCTCCATTTATCCTTCTGTTCTTGGCCTCCCTCCTCCCTTGATAACGATGCAATGCAAGCACTGCCTTGGACCCTTCTCTTATTCCAAGTGCCTCTCCAGGCAGGATGTGGAGGGCGGGGCAGAGGGCAAGGGAATCTCAGATGACTGTAAGTGATGCGGAGCTTCAAGCCAGTTCCCCTCCACCAATGGCCACATGCCCAGCTCACTTCCTCCTCCCTGCACTAGCAACACACAGTGAAGCCTGCGACTCCAGCGACTGAGTCGGAGCAGATCTAATTTTCCCCCATGGAAGAGGTCTAGGTCCACAACTGAGTCCCACTGGTGAGTGATTTTTCCCTGGGGGTAGCCAGCCACTGACATGCTCGCCCCGAGAAAAAGCTGCACATAGCTCAGAGAAGAGCGGCCGGGCTGGCCTCTCCCACGGACCGCATGCATGTGTGGTCTGATGGAAAATAGTCTATCTAATTGTTTTCACATTCTGAACCTCTCAGTTAAAATTCCCATCTGATGCTTGAACATCGCCAGAGTTTGCATCCAGGCAAGGTGGTGGGAATTCTCTTTTGTAAGAGAGGCTCAGTTTCAAAATATGGGCTCTGCTACCTTTAACCACCCTGCAAGGTCTCACACATATAAGTCAACATGTGCCGTGGGCAGGCTGCGGCTTGTGGATTCAGTTCAGTAGCCCACGGTGCTTTTCAAAAAACGACGTGTGGTCAGCCTTTTGAAAATCCAGTCCTGTGGTGCAGAATACTGCTGCACCCACCACTAGGAAGAAGTGGATGAGGGATATGTCCCTCAGAGGGAGTTCCAGAGAGTTCTGTGAGTCAACAGTTGGGAGATGGGGACAGTTCAGTGTGCATATGTGTGGGCTAACTTTGGGAATGCTTTTTGAAAAAAATCACAACTTGTGTGCCTTACGAAGGCCACCTTTCTAACAAGATTAATTCAGATGATAGTTGCCATTTCTCCAGGATGATAAATCTCAGAGATTCATGTACTCTTTCATTCATTCACTAAATATTGTGTCACACCAGCATGTGTTGAATACTTGAGGTGTTGAGGATTCACAAGAGAGAAAAAGAGAAGAATCACTGTCCTTGTAGACCTTCCATTCCAGGGGGTCTCTCAGGGACAGGTCACTTAAAGATATCCCATTGGAGGTTCATGCTCTAAACACCCCGTCAAGCCCTCTGAGGTGCCAGAGGACACCATCTGAGCCACTCAGCACATCCTTAATATCACCCTGCTGACACTAGGCACCTCTCAATGCTGTGAGGATGCCCCAGAGTGTCCTATTTTTTTCTTCCTTTATATCAAGGAAAGATGCAATGTCCCCCTTCTTAGCGGCCCTCAAGGGTCTCATCTTGAGACTTCCCTGGTGATCCAGTGGCTAGGACTCTGAGTTCTCAATGCAGGGAGCCTGGGTTCCATCCCGGCTAAGGGTACTAGATGCCACATGCCACAGCTAAAGATCCCACATGCTACAACAAAGATAAAAAATCCGGCGTGCTGCAGCTAAGACCTGGCACATTCAAATAAATAAAAGTAAACATTAAATTTAAAAAGTGTCTCATCAGGTAGAACTGGAAGAAACCAGCTCCTTTTCCCTCCAACTCTGGATCCAGCCTTTTCTTTCTCAAAGTCCCAAATACATGTTGTGAGGGTAAGGAGGTGGGGGCATGCGTCCTCATTTCAGATAGGCGAGAGCTTCAGCTGGTGCCTTGACTTCACTAAAGGAAACCAGTGGGAAAACCCAGTCTATGCACTGGCTAAAAATCACCCCCATCACAGGATCAGGTGAGACAAAAGGTAAAATAAGGGGCAGAATGATGTCAGCAAGCACAAACGCTGAGAACAAGTACACCTGCTGGAGATCTGCAAGAAAACAGAAAACCAACGGGGCCATCTGTGGAACAAGCCCCTCTTCCACACGCAGTGCAACTTACTTCTGCAAGTTTTCTGATCTGGATTCAGGGTAAAGCCTTTCAGGCAGCGGCAGGCATAGGAATCATCTGTGTTAACACACTCATGCTGGCATCCATGGTTAGGTGAGGCACAGTAGTCTATCTCTGCAAAGAAAGAAAAATCATAATGATGAACCAAACTAGAAAGCTAGCATAGGAAAACCAAAGGACTCACAGTCTTAACTTTCCCTAAACAGATACATTCCTGTGACTTTAAACACTCAAAACACTCAGACCATCGAGGGATCTCTCAGTGAAGCTATTTCTGTGTTTAGGGATATGGCCCCCCAGGAAGAGGACTTTCTTGACATATTACAAGATGTTTATGCCTTGTGAAGAGGCTTTCCTTGTCCTGGTTCATGTCAGAGCCACCAAAACGTAAGCATTGTTTGTTGTCTTGCAGGCTGGGAAGAGGGAGCCTGGCTGAATGTTTTACAGAAGGCATGCAACTAAAACAATGACTTCAAACCACTTAGCTGATTGAAACACTTAGCCAAGCAGTATACAAAATCAAATCCTGAAAAAAAGAAGGCCTGAGAGTGAAAGGCATCCTTTGAGGCAAAACACCTCCCTGTTATTATTGGTCTCATCTGCTGCTGCTGCTGCTGCTGCTAAGTCACTTCAGTCGTGTCCGACTCTGTGCGACCCCGTAGACGGCAGCCCACCAGGCTTCCCTGTCCCTGGGATTCTCCAGGCAAGAACACTGGAGTGGGTTGCCATTTCCTTCTCCAATGCATGAAAGTGAAAATGAAAGTGAAGTTGCTCAGTCGTGTCCAACGCTTGGCGACCTCATGGACTACAGCCTACCAGGCTCCTCTGTCCATGGGATTTTCCAGGCAAGAGTACTGGAGTGGGGTGCCATTGCCTTCTCCAAGCCTCATCTGCCCTTAAATCATATCAAGATTTCACATCTCTAGGTATACAGTGTTGTTTTAGTCACTAAGTTGTGTCCAACTCTTTGGTGACCTCATGGACTATAGCCCACCAGGTCCTCTGTCCATGGGATTATCCAGGCAAGAATACTGTAGTGGGTTGCCATATCCTCCTCCAAGGGATCTTTCTGACCTAGGGATCAAACCCAGGCAGGCAGATTCTTTACCACTGAGCCACCAGTGAAGCCCAGGTACGCATTAATTTAAACCAAAATAGAAAAAAAAAGGTCACATGGAATTTTTAATAATGAGATATTATTGTGTAAGTATTTTGTAGATATGGAATGGGACTCTTCTACTGATGGGTCTGAAACTTGAATGCATTGTCTAAAATTGCTTGAAACAAGTGGCCACTGATGGGATCTTAAGAGAAGTCTTTTTGTCTCGATGAGGGTTTTCATTGTTTCAAGGAACATATGCACTACACATATCATTTTCATAATGAAGCATTTGGTATAAATGAGTTTTCCCAGCCTATACCAAAGGAAACAAAATGAGTAAGAGAAAAGTGCATAGTATTCTCAAAAGGAAAAATATTGAGAAGATGCCAATTCTTCCCAATTTAAAGTCATGGAAAAATTTAAACATTAAAAAAAAAAGAACAGAATAGTATAATAAACCCACGTGCATATCACTTGGCTTCAAGAGTATTAATCTACAGCAAACCTTGTTTCCTGTATACTCCCATATCCCATGCTAAGATGCCATATAACTTGAAACTAAACCCCAGATGTTATATCATTTTGTCCATAAATATTTCATAATGTATCCTTAAAAGACTGGAACTCTTTAAACATATAACTGCAATACCACAATCACCTATAAAGTATTTTTTTAAAACATTCTTATTTGGAAATGATTTTAAATTTACAAAAGTTACAAACATAAAAATACAAGCAGAGAGGTAAAAGAAGCACCTATAGACTCTCTATCCAGACTCATCTATTGTTCATATTTACCCCAGTTGCTTTATCATTTGTTCATTCATCTCTCTGAATTATTTCAGAGTAAGCCATACATTTGTTGTTTAGTCGCTCAGTCGTGCCCAACTCTTTGCAACCCTGTGGACTGTAGCCCTCCAGGCTCCTCTGTCCATGGAATTTTCCAGGCAAGAATACTGGAGTGGGTTGCCATTTCCTTCTCCAAAGCTATACGTATCATCACCCTTTTCCCTTAAACACAGCTTATACTTCCTAAGAGTAGGTTATCAGTTCAGTTCAATCACTCCAACTCTTTGCGACCCCATAAACCATAGTACGCTAGGCCTCCCTGTCCATCACCAACTCCTGGAGTCCACCCAAACCCACATCCATTGAGTCACTCACTCAAACTCATGCCCATTGAGTCGGTGATGCCATCTAACCATCTCATCCTCTGTCGTCCCCTTCTCTTCCTGCCTTCAATCTTTCCCAGCATCAGAGTCTTTTTAAATGAGTCAGCTCTTCGCATCAGGTGGCCAAAGTATTGTAGGAGTTTAGAGAAGAATATATCCCTTTTTAGGAAATATTCTGTGTCTTCTAGGATCTGTTTCTTTATTTTACTGCCATCTTGATTTTTGTTTGCCTAGTATTCTTTTCCCTATCATTTTCATATCTTTTCCTTCTCCATCCTCTTCCACCTCATTTTCTATGAAATTCCCCCNTACATTTATACAAGACTTTATACAAGACTTTTATTTAATCTACCATCCATATTTTAGTCTTCTCAGTTGATCTAATAATATTCTTCATAGTATTTTTTACCCTCTAGTATAGAATATAGTAAAGGGTCAGGGATTATATTTAATTTCATGTATGCTTGGCCTCCTTTAATCTGGAAGCCATGTTGTCTATTGTGGCCATTTAAATTAAAATGGAATGAAAGCAACCTAAATGCCCATTGACAGATGAATGGATAAAGAAGGGGTGGTGTGTGTATGTATATAAATAATGGAATATTATTCAGTCATAAAAATGAATGAAATAATGCCATTGGCAGCAACATGGATGAACCTAGAGATTACTGAAGTAGTTAATTAATTAATTAAGTGCTGTAAGTGTAGCGCTTAAGTGAAGTAAGTCGGAAAGAGAAAGACAAATAGCACAGGATATCACTTATATGTGGAATCTGAAACACAACACAAATGAACTTATCTATGAAACAGAAAATACTCACAGACGTAGAGAACAGGCTCGTGGTTGCCAAGGGAGGGGGTGGTGGGGAGGGAAGGATTGGGAGTTTAGGATGAGTAAAGGCAAACTTGTATGTATAGGATGGATAAACAACAAGTGCAGAGCACAGGAGACTATATTCAATATCCTGTGATAAACCATAATGGAAAAGAATATGAAGGGCATATATACATATAGCTGAATCACTCGCTATACAGCAGAAATTAAACATAATATTGTAAATCAACTATACTTCAATAATTTTTTTAAAAAAAATTAAAAACATTTGATTTTACATTTGTGTTTATATTCCCTTATACTGAAAATATAGGTTCAAAGTGACATTAACATTATATATACTTATCGTGTCATATATTTATATGTGTATCTGTATAATTTCAAAGTAAGAATAACAATTCTATTAATACAGGACTGCTGGAAACAGTTAAAGCTCTTTTGTTTTTTGGACATCTGCCACTTGGAGTGTAACGTCAATAAATTCCATGCCCATCACTTAAAATAATTCTCTTGGTGATTATGCCAACAACCTGATTTACAGTTAGGCCCATTTGCTTCAATTTGTGTTCTGTAGGCAATTTTCCAACACCAATTTAAAGCCCTGTAATTTGATTCAATTCTAACACTAACTACCTCTAGTTAACATCCAGTCTCACAGGGTAAAGTGTAAGGTCCCCAACAAGAATGCCGTTGCTGTTCAGACACCAGTTTTCAGGGGGCTGCCCAGCCGACCTTCACTTCTGCACAGCCACCTACAATCCTGGGGTTTCCCACAACTAGTTCCTCTCAATAGAACTCAGGAAAGTGCTATACTTACAGTTACCATAATCAAGATGGTTTTAACTCTTCCTTTCCAATCTAGATTTCATTTCTTCCTTTCTTTTTTACTTCCTTGTTACAATGGTTAGAACATTAGTCGCTCAGTCGAATCCAACTCTTTGCAACCCCATCCATGGAATTCTCCAGGCCAGTACACTGGCAAGGGTAGCCTTTCCCTTCTCCAGGGGATCTTCCCAACCCAGGTCTCCTGCATTGCAGGCGGATTCTTTACCAGCTGAGCCACAAGGGAAGCCCCTCAGAACCTTACAGGCTGTGCTAAATAGAACCTTACAGGCTGGTGAGAGTGGGTGTCCTGTTTTACTCATCTAATAAGGAAAGCATTCAATCTTTCATCAGTCAGCACAACGTTAGCGGATAATTTTTTCACTGATGCACTTTATCAGACTGAGGCAGTTCTCTTCAATCCTAGTTTGCTGAGAGTTTTTTTTTTTTTAATCATAAATGAGTGTCAGATCTTGTCCAGTGCTCTTTCTGTATGTACCGAATTGGATCATACTGTTCCTGCTTTTTGTATGTTCATGTTTTAAATTTCATTAATCAAACTTTGAATGTTAAATCATCCTTGAATTCCTGGAATAAATCTCAGGAAGTATTATCCTTTTCATATATTGTGGAAATTTTTTAAAATTTATTTTAATTGGAGGCTAATTACTTTACACTATTATGGTGGTTTTTGCCATACATTGACATGAATCAGCCATGGGTGTACATGTGTCCCCCATCCTGACCCTCCCTCCCACCTCCCTCCCCATCCCATCCCTCTGGGTCATCCCAGTGCACCAGCCCTGAGCACCCTGCCTCATGCATCGAACCTGGACTGGCGATCTGTTTCACATATGATAATATACATGTTTCAATGCTATACTCTCAAATCATCCCACCCTCGCCTTCTCC